GATTAGGCATTTATAGAACAGTTTAAAGAATTGAAAATAGATAAGCGGTACTCCCTGAATAGAACAGGTCGAAGCCCACCTAAATTATCTTTAACCGAAACTATTTTTACACTTCAAATATTCTAAAACAACTGTCATCGTTTATTTATCTTTTATAATATAAAATACTATTTTTTATATCAAAAATTACTAAATTCAAATGCCAAACAAAAAAATTTACATATATTTTTATAAAATTCAGTGAAATTAATTTAATACAAATTATTCCTGTTGATTTAAGCATGTTCCCTTCTATTCAATTTTTAACAAACATTGTTTTTTACATTAAAAAATATTTATGATAATTATTATTAGCTGTAATTATTAGTAGATAATGCATGTAATCTTATTAATTATTAAAAGATTGAAGTACAAAACCGTAATGTAAATACATTTATTGTCACGACTTATATCAAATTTCATTGTTTATTTTTTGTACTCTTTAAAGGTAATAATATTATTTGAAAATGTGGAGCAAGATAATAAGTAAAATATTTGCTGAGCATTTGACTTTTGATATCACAGTGGCCACATTATTATTGTCATTATTTTTAATTTTGATATCAATCAAGGCTATCTGTCGCCGCCCAAGTTATAAAATAAACAATCTATAAATATTCATCTTATGAAATGATATCAATTTTGACGGTTAGAAAATATTATTACATGTTAAATGTTAATTTTACTAAACTAACAAAAAAAAAGGTTCTACTGCTCCAAAACTAGTAAAATTAGAAAAAATATTTAAACAAAGCTTTTACCAGCTTTACAAAACTTACCTCAAAATTTGGATATTGCAAAAATAGCAGTTTTTTCAAAAGTCAAAAATTCTTTCTTCAATTTAATAAGGATGTGCGCAGAAAGAGTACATTTTTTAAATTGATTTGTACACTATACCTATTAGTACAGGTGATCACCATTTTTTGACACGGTCACAACACTAAACTAATCCCAGCGCTCCACGCGGAAGACAGGTCTTGAGAAGCCAGTGCTGCTGGCACTCAGGGTGAGGGAACGCAAGGTGGTCTCGAAGCCATCGTCGATTATGGCGACCTAGCTGGTTCTCGGGATAGAATTGAGTAGAGAGGCCTCGAGCAGTAGGGTTAGGATGGCTGGAGAGGTTGCTATGAAACTTTTGGAAACGGAAACGCAACGCTTGTTAGCAAAAGGAATGTTGAGGTCGGTGTGGATGTTGAGGTTAGTGATGCAGTAAGGAGCATTGATGATTTGTCTAAGGACTTTTGATTGGAAAAATTGGTTGGCTTGGCAGAACCCCACAATTCCACTTCGTATGTCCAAAGTGTTCGCACTTAAGTCTTGCCTAAGGTAAGTTTAGTTTTGACGGTCAAAGGATTTTGGTCCTAGAAGTCTTCGTAATTGTCCAAGTCTTTCGTGAAGTTGTTGAAGGTATAGCCCTAAGTATCCGACTATAATGGAAATCGGCATCTCTTTGTGGTTGATGTTCAGTAGACGGCAAGACTGTTTTATCAATGTATACTACGTAAGTTTTGCCTTCAGTCTTGTGCTCCACTTTTTGCACCGGTCTTCGATAGTCTCAAGGTGTTCTTGTATGTTGAAGGTAGCTTGTAAAGGATGCGAGTTAAAGCACAAAATTGCTGTATCGTCCGCATTGGTGGTGAAGATGGTGTTGGGGTGTGTAGGTAGTTTTGCAATATAAATGATAGAAAGAATGGGACCAAGAACGCTCCCTTGTGAGACGCCGGCGTGTATCGGTCTGATTTCCAAGAATTCCTTCCCGCATCTCACTCGAAGCAGCGGACAGTCCTTTCCTAACTACATTCATTTTTGTTATTGTAACAGATATTTATTATCTAGAATGTGCGGAGAAATATTTAAAAAACATTGTGTGTATTTTAAAATGGAAACCTAATCGATACCGTCACCGTTTTAAGCTCTATGATTTTCCTCTTTTAATGAACTGGGTTTTAATTTATTGTACCTATCTTGAATAGGCGTTTTAATCCAGATTAAGGCGTAAATTATTCTGTTCAAACTGATGGAGAGCGATTGTATAAATTTCCTTTTAATTTCAGCCGTCCGAACTTTGACTTTGCACACTTGTTGTTCTCTTGATTTGAAAAGTTAAAAAGGAATAACGTAGTAGTATCACCCTTTACCGTCGGCCCGGTGATAAAAGTAGAAAAACGGGAAGCTTTAGTCGAAGAACAGGTCGAGATTAAAATTTGAAAAGTCGAGTTTTTAATTACAACAGGCTTAAGGGGCATTTAAGTAAGTTACGAAAGAGCTTTGAATCGGCTAGATGATGAGCAGAAGTTGCAAAATTGCCAAGATAATATTAATGTTTCCAGAGCTTTTATTCCTGTAAACCTCTCAATTCGCAAAGTCCTAATTATAAGTTTTGAAAAAAGCCTTTCTCTCGTTTCATTTAATTTTTTATTTTTAGCTACGGTCCGATGTGAACGGGCGTATTCCCTTCCACGAAGTTTACCATGCGTTTCAAACTCTTTTCACAACGTTTAAAAATCAAAGCTGATCCGATCGATTCCAATTTAGGCCTGTTTTGCCTTTTAGGGGTCTGACAAACAGGCTACTTGTAGAAAACGGTTTGTGATGGGGCGGCCATGGGATTAGAAGGGCTCTCTCTCAAGTCCTCCCAGGTAATTAATCTCTTTTACCTTAGCTCTAAGCAGAATAATCGTCCTGGTTCAAAGTTAATATTAGCAATTAAAAATTAAGCCCCGTTAACAATTAGTCGATCAAAGTCTTACCGACTTAATTAACAGCACCAAGATTAATCATAATCTCAACCAATGTAATAAAAATAAATAATCATAATTTGGAGATTGTGAGGTGCGGTCTGTTGTGACGTAAGTTTTAGAAAAACATTTTCTTTACCATGCCAACGTTTCGATCTTTATTGAGATCATCTTCAGGAGCTGAGATTTATAAACATTGTTTACATTTTACAAATATATGTAGGATATTTATTTAGAAATCGTGAGATGCGGTCTGGTGTGATGTAGGTTTCAGAAAAACATTTTCTTTATCGTGCCAACGTTTCGATCTTTATTGAGATNATAAAGATCGAAACGTTGGCACGATAAAGAAAATGTTTTTCTGAAACCTACATCACACCAGACCGCATCTCACGATTTCTAAATAAATATCGATTAACGGTCATTAATCACCACACATATATGTAGGATGTGGAAAAAATATGAATTTATACAATGCTAGAAAATTTTAGATTTAAAAAATTTAATTTATACAATGCTAGAAAATTTTAGATTCAATCAAACTATTCATACTCACTCAAAGTGTTTGTTTTCCTTGTAGATGTCATTCTTTTGAGTCGTGTTGAGAGTGCAAGTGAGATATTGCTGTTTTATGTGTATATACGTTAGATACAATTTTCCTTTCTCTAATTATCCCCGGCTATATAATCCGGAAAGGATAATCAGGCCGAACCCATTACCCAGGTTTTTTCCCATTGTAGGCTGCTTTCGCCTCAAAGAAGCCGACTCCACATATAAAAATATACTTCTATCCTGACCTCCTTCCCCACCTCTTCACCCCTTCAAAATCCAATGTATATATACGTAAAACAGCAATATATAATACTGGCACTCACAACACGATTCACCGGAATTTCACATCTACACGGAAAACAAACACTTTGAGTGAGTACGAATACTTTGATTGAATCTAAAATTTTCTAGCGTTGTATAAATTCATTTTTTTCCAAAACAATTTTTTTTAGCATTGTATAAATTCATTCTTTTTTAATCTAAAATTTTATGTGTAGGTGATCTTGGGTTGATTGTACAGAAAAGATTAAGTCAGGATGTGAAGAGAGTTTTGCGGTTAATCGTATGATATGGGTGTTAGGGTGGATAGGTATGACTGCTGTGTCTGCTACTTCTCACCTTGACCTTGTTATCTTGGAGGAAGAACTTCAGGATGAGATAGTAGGTGCGAAAAAGGTTACCTTTTAATTTGAAAAAGGAGATCTGGCACCACACTCTGTCAAATACCTCTTTAACTTTTTGAACAACTGCTGTGCAATAATGCTGATTTTCTAGGACAGGGTATACTGAATTTTCTACTACTCACTCGTTACACCATCTTTAAAGCAGAATGGAGGGGTCTAAAACCAAATTGATGGATGGAGATTGTGTTTTGGGAGTTGAGAGGGGATTAAACTTTTGAAGAGGAGGCATTAAAAATTTTAGCTAGGATTCTGAGAAAGGTTTATAGGCTTGTATGAGAATGGTCTCTGGGGATTTGTTTGATTTGGGAATAGGGGTTATTAAGAGTTTTCACTGGATGGGAAGTGTATTGTGTGGATTATTGCATCGAAAATGGTTGTGATATATACTGCTTTTTAGGTAGATCTTTAAGAAGTTTGGGAGTTATGAAGTCGTACCCTGGGGTTTCAAAACTGGGAGGCGGAAAATTTGGAATTTAAATTTCAAGTGTTTGGGGGCTGATATAAAGAAAGAGGGGATTTGAGCAATTCGGTGATTAGATCAAGTGCTGTGGTACATTAAGATCTGGATGAGGAGTGAAAAACGTTGTAAAGTGTCGGAAAAGATTTGAAACCTTTAAGAGTTAGAATTACTTATTCTTAGGTTCTTCAAATTTCTGCAAATTTACAAACGATTGCGAGAATTGTATTACTATGACTCAAACTACCGATTTCTCCAGCGGTTTCGCCCAGAAACAGATCTGTAATACAGTCAATTATTTAATATGATAAATATTTTATTCTGTACTGATAAAACACAGTAGAAATGGTAGGTATAAAAGTAATATCTAAAGGGTAGACATTGAAGAAAGTATATAAAAGTCTCATAAACTCGTACGTCGTTTCGAACCATTCAGGTCCTTATATAACTTCCTCCATGGTTGACTTAAAGACGCATTCTGTTCCAAGAGTCAAATTTTAATTAATTAATGATGTTTTTCGTTTGTTTCAGGGGGTGAATGTGAGCCGGCAAGTCGGTGCGACCACGTACGTCGAGACGTCATCGAAAAACAGCAGTAAAACGGCGTGCGACGCCTTCGAAATCGCCGCCCTTGCCGCCCTCGGCCGGCTGAACATGAACACCTGCCTCGTAAGCCCGCCTCACAAAGGCGGTCCCGGACCCGCAAGGAGCAAGAGCAAAGTTGACCTGAAAGCCGAACTGCGGTACAGGGCCAAAAGCTGCACCGTCATGTGACCGCTCTTCAGCATTCTTCGTAAATAAGCTTCAAGAACGAACTCACCGGCGGATGTGTCGTTCTGTTACATGGGTACTCGTCCTTCCCTCCCGAAATCGGACCCTTTTCCACCTATCCCTCAACATTCCTAAGACGACTGATATTGGGTTTGTTTCATCCGGAACAACGTCAAAACCAAATATCAGAAGGAAAGAATACGATATTATTATCTATAACTATCTTCTCTCAATTCGAAATTATTGTGATAGTAAACTTCATCTTTGATGAAAAAAAGTGTGATCTGAGCTACAATGGAGCTTTCTTTAAGCAGTACTAAACATCAAACAAGTAATTAATTGAACCATATCAAGTTTAAATAAAAACTGTCAAATTATGTTGGGTGGTCTTGTTTTTTCAGCCCACAGTAAAAAGAAATTTTGAACACAAAATTAAACAGAACGCTACTGTTAATTTGAAAAAAATCGTATTTTTCTTTAACTCGTAAACACAAAAGTAAAATAATAATAATATTGACAACATTGTGTCTATTTAAAGAACAAAATTATGCTGGGTGGTCTGGTTGTTTGAAGGATTATTCCTTTTTTTATCCATAAAGTATCGAAAAGGGTTTCAAATTTCAAAGCAGAACATACTTTTGGATCAGAAACTACTCTGAATGATAAAAAATAATTTGTAAATCAAACTAAAATTGAAGATATTATTCAATAAAATAATGATTATTCTTTATTAGCAAACTTGCCTTTTTGACTTCTATTTATTCATTAAGCATTAACTTTTATTTGTATATACTTATTTTTAAAATGATAAATAAAATACCAAAATTTATTATCTGTGTAATGCTAAATGATTCTCTTTATTTTTTTTAATTATAAGGTATTGTGATCAGATTTTGTTTAAGTTTTAAATGATCTTAGTCAGAAATAAAAACACAATAATTTTAGGTAAAAAAAAATATATATATATATATATAAATATATTGACAATGTTTAGAGTTTTGAAGTTGTTTGTTTATTGAACGTCGAATCCCGACTGATCGACGATCATCGAGGTCTTTATTAGTCGCTACTATTTCAGCAATAAAAAATTTTAAAATAATGTTTGAAAGTCAAATTACAAATTAAAAAATACACTAAAATATAAATCACGACTGTTTCAGAATTAATGAAAAACAATTCGAAAAATAAATCGTTTGCATTATAAAACTATAATAATAAATTATAATTTTGAACTCTGGGTATTTATTGGGATTAATCCATTTGTCTGATTGATCCTAGGCATTCTGGCCTAACAAGACTCACTGAATGTTTTAGAAATAAAAAATTTATACGAAATCTTTGGTATAACGCTAATTTACAAATAAAAAATTTTCAAATGGAAATCATCACTACCAATCAGTCACTACACATTCAATCGTAGGCAAATTTCAAATTTGTATGTTTTGTTAGTTTTTTTTCCAGTACGCGTTTGTAAGAACCGTTGTGTGATGTGATCGTTAATTTTCTAGCACTATTCCTAGTAGCGGTTTGTCATAAGTCTGTCTACATGGGCATGAGAACCTTGTAAAAGCTTATTTTTACTGACCAATTTCTGAGTTTTGAAATCTGGTTGGATCATTAAACCTCTCACCGTATGTTTATCTTGGTCCGTCCATTTTTTACGTTTGTTTCAGAAACCTTTCTGCAAATAATTTAAATTCAGTTGTACAAATCTAGTAGTTGATCAACCGTTGGCACTCTAGCTGTATTTATTTATTTTTTAAAATTATAAAACACATAAATAGATACTGGCTGTTTAAGAATAATAAAATAAAAAGAAATGGAAAAATGACTTTACTTGCAAAAATTTAACTTAAAAAATACTCTGCAAAGCTATGTGCGTAAACAGTGGAGTTTGATGTTGAAGAAAAGAAAGAAACGAGAGATGAAAAAAACGGAAAAGTTGTCTTGTGTGCTAACTCACAAATCACTGTGGATTACCATTGGCGTAAACAAGATCTAAATCTAAACAACGCCAAAAATATGCATACTGGAATGACCAAGTCATCAGTCTGCTTGCGAATAAATTGTAACGTATATACTTTCCACGTCTCCATATGAGTAGTAATATAGAATCATGAAGAATCATGCATAAATTTTCCCGGTCTCACTATCGACTTGACCACCTTAGTAGTAATTTAAAAGTTATAGAAATAATGTTTTTATATTGATGAATTAAGCATGGACGAATTTTATATTGTAATTATCGAAAACAACGAGGATACAGAAATATTTGAAAGAAGATTCAAAATGTATATGTTAAGCTATATGCAGTTTATTGCTTTTATTAAAATGTGCCATTTAATTAGAGAATATTTTTTAAAAAGTCATAAATTCTATAACTGAGAGCTGAAAGATCAAAAGGGATTGTTATTCTGTGAAGTTTTGCGCTAAGGTGTGATCAATTGAGAGAAAAGTAAGCTCCATTGTTGAAAAAAATCTTTAATCCAAAGGACATTTGTAAAAGAAAATATGAACAAAATAATCTATGGACTTTGTCCATCCATTGTTATCAATTTTGAACCTTGATTCAAAAATGTTGCCAAACATCAATTCGAAATGTTTTCTATTTAACACGATATTTCTATGACTATTAACATAATAAAAAGATTTTACATGTTAGGCTACATCCATTTTTTTTTTGTTTTTTTAATCTATAAAATGTCTTTATACACAAACATCCCAACGGAACTTTAGTACCCGTGAATGAAACTGACTCGGACTGATAATCATATGCTCATAAAAACGCATAAAATATCGAGAAAACCTTCAAAAGATATATTTAATTTAAACATATTGCAAAGATATCGAAACGAAATTTAATTAAAAAAAGAAAAAAGGTTCAAAAAAGAAAATATTTTAAAAAGAAATCGTGGTCTTACACTGTTGTAAAGTTGTAATATAAAATTATATATAATGGATGTTTAAAGCAAAAAAGATTTTTAAGTAGACAAATAGCTGTTTATACACATAAAATTAATATATATGACGGAAATTAATGTTATTTATAAATGTGAAAATAAACTGTATTTTATTGTTGTGAAATTTTGGATAGTTGATAATATACACCGCTTTTGTCCCGTTTTGTTTTATCTCCTGGCGTTATCTGATAAATAACCGGGGTGATTTTCACTTTTAAATGTTGATTTTTGTACAAACTTGGGTAAAAGAAAACTGACTCTGTTTCAGAATGTAAACCCCTAACGCTCACAATTTTTGGTTTAAATTATTTTGTATTATAATTGCAAAAATAAGTTACTTTTGCGTTATAAGAAAATTAAAAATTCTATAATAAAAAAACTGTTTGGTCCTAAGGTGTTCGACTTAACTTTTACCTCTTAAAGATATTATTTTCTGACATTTTCCGCAGTCAGTTCAACAACAGATAAAAATTAAAACTATATATAAAAATTGTACTTTAGATCCTTATATCCATTTTACACAATAAAATATAGACCTTGAATAGTTTTAAATTATCTAATTTATAAACAATGATTGTGATATTTGTAAACATCCTTAACCATTGGGTGTGTTGAAGATTACCTTACTTACCCGAAAGAAAGAAAATGGGACCAGAAAGTAAGCTCTTGCTTGTTTTTCTAAACAATTGAAAAATTGTGAGCGTTAGTGATAACGCACAATTCACATTTATATTCAAAGCTTGATGATTTTTTCCTATAGATAAAATAATTTTTCAACCAGAAGCAAAGCAGAATAATTTTGAATATGTTGTATTTTATAAAATATATAATAATGTTTTCTATATTGAATGTTTGAGTCTATATTTTTAGAATTTAAGCAAGAAAAAATACATATTAAACTCAATAAAGACAAATACAATTATTTCATAAATTATGGATAAAAATCATTTGTTTCTAGTTTTTTTATTAAATAAACATATCAACAAAAAATTCATATATATATCAATTTATTTGACTTTCTTTAATGTAAAATAATAAAATTCAGGTATTGAAATTATCCTTACTTTGGGTAAGAATCTCCAAAAAATTTGCCCTAGATTAAAAAAACAGAACGAGGAGGGGATCCAGGGCAAATCTTCCATGAAGACAATAAAGCCGTTGTACCAGGTTAGCAACGTTGAAAGAAAAAAATCTATTAGAAACATCGGCAAGCTCGCTTAGCAAAATATATATTAAACTCCCATTTTAATTATTAGAAGGAAACTAAAGTTTTAATTAAGCTTTGTCGAATCATTTAGAATTTGGATGATTCGAGATGAAATTACAACGTCACGATCGTACGATATCGTCTGATTTTTTATCAATATGAAACAACAAAAGGAAATCGTTGCTCAAGTCAAAACGCACCAATGTTTTTGAATGCATCTTTCCATCGATCAAAAATCATACAAAGAAAATGCATTTTTAATAAAATAACCTGTTGTGACTATAACTATAGACCAACATCAATAACCGAGTAACATGTAAAAAACAGGAAAAATATGTTTTTGTTCAATAAATTAAATATATTTAATTAGTTTTAAGATATAATATTAGAATTAGTTAACTTTTTGAGTTATATAGATTTGTATCATAAATGTGGATTAAAAGTTCCATTTCTATTTTATTTTACAATATTTTTTACACTATATTTGTTTTGATTTTTCTATATTTATTCTTTGTCAAATCTGTAAAAAAATCCTTTTAAGGATATTTCTCTACATTTGAACAATGAGACTTGGAACTCCCTTTGGTAAACTCGCCTGTATATTTGAAATATTCAGAAATTTTGCAATCGAATAATGAATCTGGGCAACTGTCTCGTAACATGTTCTTTAACTAAGGTTTGAAATAGTTTTAATTATTAGTTAAAAATAAAATAAATGGGCACAATATAGCCACAGGTGTTTCGGAGGTGGTTCTTATCCGTAAATTCTTTCATAATTTTTTCTCCCGAAATAATTTTAATTTTTGTACCTTGAAAAAAAAATCACTCGACCTTCACGATAAGAAAAGTAATAGAACAATCCAAGTATAGTTACCATTAAAATATCGTTAGAACTGATTTATTGAAAAGTTTGCGTAAGACGTAGACTCATTTGTACTTTTATACCACAAGTAAGTTAATTTCTATTTAAAAGATATATGTATAATATATACACATTATATATAATAAATTCAAAAAATAAATCTATGTGACAAACATAAATTGTGAAAATAGACCGATATGACATCCTAAAACGTATATTGTGTAATTAGTGTGATATTAATATAATTAAAAAAAGAAAAATTGTTCTATGTTTAAAACTTAGGTGCTAAGGCTTTTGTTGTTTTGTATATAAATGTTTATCTACATTAATGTCATTTATTGTTAAATAGCCTAAAATAGAGTTTCTAAAAAAAATGTATGTTTAAACTCTCTCTCAACTTTTACCACTTACTCGATTTATATGTGTATTAACGTTAAAGAATGCATGCGTCATAT